GAGACAAAAATCTTGAAAAAAAAAGAAATCATGCTAAAAAAATCTGATAAGTATGTACCTTGAGATCACATGTAGTGTTGAGCAACAAATTTGAAGGTTTCAAGTCACGATGCAAAACGTTAGCTGAGTGGATATATTTGAGACCGCGAAGAATCTGAATAAGAGCAGTTATAAACTGTGAAAATGGCAATCGTTACTGCTGTTCGATATGATTCGCAAACCTGATATAAGAAGTAGCAGACGTGGTCATTGGAAAGTTTCTGTGTTTTTAGCAATTTGTACAAGTCAGTCTCCATCAAGCATTGCACAATATAACTAAAACAAGAAACTGATACATCCAAAGAAGCCAAAAAGGTTCAGTTGGTAAGATTTCATTTTGGATGTTGCATGTAATGATGCTTTGACCAGAGACCAAAACATAACATTTGTATCAAAGCCACTCCTCCGCACGAGCATTTTTTTAGAAATATGTAGCAATATTCAAATTCTTCCCTTCTTGCAAAAATTACAAAATATGGTTTCTTTTTCTTTCATTCTCAGAGGCATTCGCTTTAGTGAAAAGTCATATGGATGGTATCGCTGACATGCATGAAATAGCTCAAGCTCATATAATGCAAATTTCAGCACATTTTAACAACCAAGTTTCCTTCAATCCACGAAAATTGCAACTGATCCTCATGCAAATCCGACTTTATGCGATTTTGTTTCTACACAAACTTGAGGTTCCTTCTATGCAGGCTACTTACAAGAAGTATGTATAAATAATTATAGGACTATAACATCGCAAAAAGGTAGCCTGTTTTGTTTGAAGACAAAAGCTCGGGCAAACGTGCAGATACTAGAACATCAAAGAAGAAGTGAATAAATGAATAACAAACAGTGCACTCACATATCCTTCATTTGCTCTACTGATTCTGAACGAATAATCTCTTGAATGTTGATGATCTAAAAACAGAATGTAAGGACGACAAAATCGCAGGAAAGTAGAGATAATACCTACATTTTCATGCTTGAACCGTGTTAGAATCTTGATTTCGCGCAATGTTCGTTGACAGAAGGTCTGATGCTCGAAGGGAGATATTTTCTTGATTGCTACTCTTTCGCGAGTGACTGTATCCAAAGCGGAGCTGAAAACACATAGTGAGCGGATGCAAGCTGCAGTCGTTTCACAGGTACTAATCACTATGCAGTTATCAGGAAAACTCAATTACTTAAAATTACAGGGATATTCAAAGTCAGGGAATGCTGGGGACAGAGAAAGCGCAGAAACAGCGTGCTTGGCAAGAAAAAGAAAAGACTGCTGATACTTCTGCATGGTATACTTACTCAAGACCAAAATTTTTGTTATTCTGATTCAATATGGGACCCCATTCAAACTAGACTCAATTCAGCAAACTGAGTGAGTCTTTTGAAAAAAATATTCATGACGTGCACAAAGATGATCTGTTGACTTTTCGAGTTTTGGCTATTCTGCTAACGAGAAGCAGTGTCTTTATGCCTATTCTATTCACTACTCAAACAGAAGTTCTCTTAGCGTCTCAATCTCAAGCTGAGACTTTCTAAAACAAGAATAGGACAGTAAGCACGAAAACTTCACGATAAGTGCTAGCACAATCGATTAAAAAAAAAGAAAAAAAAGAAACGGCAACGCGTGAATGCAGTGTGTGAAGCAGGCAACAAATAGCGAGATAAAATTGAAGAGAAAAGCGGACTATAAAGGAAAAACTTACGCGACCATTCCATATGCTCCTTCGCCAATGTAGGAGAGGTTCACATAGCGAGGTCCAACTTCGAACAACTGCCCGTGTACCTCCTCAACGTTATTTCGTGTCGATACTGATTCTTCCTCTGTCATCTGAAACACTTTGGTAATATAATCTTGATAGAGCAAAGCAAGCGCGATAAGAACGAGAGCGTGTCGGGCTAGAATGGGAATGGGAATGTGATTTCATTGAAAACAGAGACAGTGGTTGAAAAAAGTGAGACGATCAAAAGAATCGACTACAGATGTGGCCATTCGTGACATTCAATGTCTCTGATCAATACAAATATAAATCGCTTTTGATAAATGCAGCATCTGCCACGTGAATCTCTCGAACGCATAAAAATTAACGATAGTGATTGAATAAAAAAAAGAAC